ACCGGAGTGGGATGGGATTCTATGCATCATCGGAGCTTCATTGTAAGGACAGTCTCTTTTCTCCTGAAGGTGTGAACGGAACGCACAGACGAAATCAGTGAAGCCGACAAAGCCAAACGTGAGTGCAAGTGTATAAATCAGGGTGAAAACAACAGTTGCAAAACGATGTGGGCTGTCTCTCTGCTGCGTAGGAATTCCCATTATTTCCTGTTTCCAGGGCCATTGTCCTAGGCTAAGAGCCGCGCACCTTGTGCGTTGTGGGACTGGCTCTAAGCAACACCACATCTGATCAGCAAATATTTAAGATCGCTTCAAATGGAAAGCCTCGTGAACCTGAGAAGAGCATTTTTAATGTGGTCTGTTTTCTGTCAAGTCACTTGTATTAAGATTGTTACTCTTACGTTTTTATAACCTCATTTCCCTTTGGGTGGATATGATGTAGTGAGCGCATCGTGAAAGGTGAGAGATACCCATCTCTTCGAGGCCTGTGGAGAATGTTGATCTTATCCGTGAGATGAGTAAGAGTGATGGAGAAGCCTTGATTCATCTGCATTTCCTGCCACAGCTCCGGATATGCGGTTGCAAAGAGACACCTACCGGCCGGCCTCTACACCCACTGCCTTCTTCCCCTTTCTGTTCTTCCCGTGACTTTTTGACAAGGTCTGCCACCTAGTGGAAAATGACCCCCAGCTCATCAACCTGGCCTTTCTGTAATTCCCATTTCAAGTCGACATTACTTAACTCTTTCGAATATATTAACTCATCATTAAAAACGACCCGTGTTTGTAGAAATACGCACATTTATGCAACACGCTATGCTGGCTTGTCACAGTCAAGGAAATTACGATGCCATATTCTGCAGGGTCAGGAAGGAGGGCTAGGCAGGAAGAGCCAGCCCGGCCACCCAGACCTGCGACATGCCTCACACCGCTCCGTCCCAGTTTCCGGAGTGGCCTGCGAGCCAGGGGCGTTTACAGGCAGGGGCCTGAGGATGAAGGTGAGGGGCCGGGGCTCCTGCGGGGCTGTCTGCCTCCATGGGCGAGGCTCTGCTCCCCACCGGGGCGCGGTGGCTGAGCGGCCGAGGAGGTATGGGTAAAGAGAACCGCTATCCACCACTAAGCTCGTCCCGACACGTTGCTGGAACTAATTCCCCCAGTGTAGTCAGTCCTGCAAGGCAGACGCTATCCCTAAGTATAAATGAAGAAATGAAGACACCACGAAATCGGTTTTCTTGGTCCAGTTGCACTGCCAGAAGGATATAGGTGGGGGTGAAATCGGAATGTGGATCTGTCTGCTTTCAAGTCCTGTCTATTGCAGCGCTGTGTAATAACCATAGTAAATACTGTAAGGGTAAATTAAGCTCATTAACTGCGAGCTTGACCTCTTTGACAACTTACCTCCTGACTTGCTAAAAAGTTTCTTTCCTTCGAGAGAGGGAGAGGAGGAGGCGCCCCTACAGGGTTCCCACGTGGAGTGTCAGGTTGGTCTGCCACTAGGCCACTGCCTCCCCCAAAAGGCAGCATTGCGCAGAGGGGGCCTTCACACCCTCGGTTCTCAGCAGGAGTAACAGCCTCCCGGCCAGAGGCGGGGCGCTCAGCGGACGCAAGTGGCGGTGTCCCCACGGGAGCTGACCAGCGGACAGCGCTGCGGGACCCGCTGCACAAGGCGAGGCGCGCGGGGCCTGCCTCGGCCGAAGGACACTGCGGACACTCTGGCGTCCTGCCCACGGAGCACACAGCGGCCTGGGTGCCCTGCCGCTGCCGCCTGCCCGGACCCTGAGTGGGGCACCCACCCAGCACCGCTGCCCCTGCCTTGGCCTCGCATCCAGCTGTCAGCACATCCATCCGGCTGTAAACGAAAGGTTCTTTAAAACAGCAAACTGAGTTTCCAAGGCAACTTGGAGACGGAATCTAAATCAGACTCTGCTCCTGGTTATCTCCTAATTCAGACCTTGAGGCATTTCTGAGGCCGTCAGGCTCTGAGCACAGGGCCTGCTGGAGCTCCCCTGCTACCTGCAAGCACTCTTACTGTTGTAGAAGCTGGGTTATTTCTCCCTGCCCAGGACAGGCACAGAGCGAGGCTGAGACAGAGACAGAGACAGAGACAGAGACAGAGACAGACAGGGAGGCTGTGCTCTGACAGGCCGAGGTCACGATCTCCCCTAGCCGCAGCCCTCCCTCTGCTGAGGCAGGGGCCTGGGG